AATGCAAGATTAATCTAAGTAACCAAGAAATGGATTTGCCAAGGTAACACATGATAATTAACAGGAATCCAAAATACAATTCATAACACCTTTATCTTTTTTTTTTTACGTCAGTCTTACTCGGTTGCCCAAGTTAGAGTGCAGTGGCATGCTCTTGGCCACCCCAGCGTTGAACCACTGGGCTCAGATGATCCTTCCGCCTCAGCCTTCCAAGTAGCTGGAACTACAGGCATGCGCTACCATGTCTGGCTAATTTTTTAATATATTGTAGAGACGAGGCCTCACCAATTTGCCTGGGCTTCTCTCGACCCCCTGGACTCTGGCAATCCTCTTGCCTTGGCCTCTCAAAGTGCTGGGATTACCAGGCTTGAGCCACCGCGCCCAGCTAACACCTTTATCTTAACGGCTGTTGCAAGATAGGGGAACAAATAGAAAACAAACTTAATTTACCTATTGCTGTCGGTACAGTTTTCCATCTGTTCTAGGATTGCTTTCCTCAACCCCTAATACCCAGTGAAATATTTGTAAAGTTTTAAATGTTTAGTGGTATACCTTGATGGGCAATCATTTCTACTTCTACAATAATGAAATTGGCAATATATGGATGTAGGACATGTTGTTGAAGGTTAGGCTCAGAGGACCCCAAGTTCAGGTTAGAAAAAAGGGACAGAGAACAGAGGCTTATTTGAAATCAAGCTTCTACTTCCCTGGGAACCACATGGATCCTAGCAACACTGAACAAAGGGCTATAGACAAAATGATCAAGGATTCTGAACTGTAAACCATTTTTCTATCTCTGGGCTGTATATATTCAGACACTTTGCTATACTGAATTAACATTGTCTGCCATGCCCATACATTATGCTCCTACCCAGGCAAACTGCAAATGCTGAAATTTTATATTTCAGCAGGATTTTAGATTATATAATGGATTTGTTATCAGATCATCTGGTCTCTGTGAGAGAATGATCCAGAGACTGGGTATGCTGTTCATCAACCAGAGGAGTCTGACCTGCAGAAAAGAGGCTGAGACAAAGCCCAAGGTCAGACAGCCAGAGCTCTGCAGGGAGACAAGAACTCACATAGACTACCTCTCACAAATGATACTTTGTTAACCCACTTGGGCTGAATCAACACATTAGTGTGTGTTCAGGTGAACCCACATAAAGAAGAGAATGATGGGAGATTAGTACATTACTCAAAATCCCTCTACCACCCATACTTTAAACGTCTTATGCCATCTAGTAATCTCAGTAATTTATAGGATTCTAAGGGAAGATGCAGACACTGGGAAATTGACTATCAGAAAGATTATGCTGGGCACGGTGGCTCACATCTGTAATCCCAGCAACTCAGGAGGATGAGATGGAAGGAATACTTGAGGCAAGGAGTTCGAGACCAGTCTGGGCAACATATTGAGATGCTGTCTCTAAAAATAAAAAATAAAACTTAGCCTGGTGTGGTGGCGCACACTTGTATTCCCAGCTACTCAGGAGGCTGAGGCAGGAGGGTTACTACAGTGAGTCATAATCTTGCCACTGCACTCCAGCCTGGGAAATGGAGCAAAATCTTGACTCTACAAAAAGAAAAAAAAGGATTATATCTGCCTATGGTCATGACGGGAAGATAGAAAAAGAAAGACAAGTAGAAAGAGCCACAGATTTCCAGAGCCCACAGAAAACTCTTAGCAGACTTTTAATATATGAGAGTGGAGAAACATATATTGATTCTTGGAGGAAAGGGGAAGTATAAGGGGGACTAGCAGTCTGCACAAGGAGATAATTGGAGCTGGAACTTCTTGTCTCAACACTACTCATTTAGTCTTCTCACTTGCTAGCATGACCCAACACACTGGTTGAGAAACACTTTTCTAGTCTTTCCTGTAAACTGCTGATGAACACAATGTTTTTGAGAGACCTGAAATACAGACATTAGTGCAACACCACCTTGTACCAAAATTTCATTCATCAAAAAGTGAACAGTTTCAAACTCTCCAGAAATATCATGTATCTAATATCAACATGTTACACATCACATTTTGATGATGCAATGCTTTAAATCAAGACACCTAGTGTAAGTAAGGAGGTACTTCATAGATACAGAGCCTCATTCTCCTCTTTGCACAGAAGAGAGGAAAAAAACTTAATGCTAAATGGAAATGGAGTACCCCTGGCCTCCACTAGCAGCAGAGTCCCATGGTCCAACAGCTAGGAAGTTACCAAGATCTATAAAGATTGAATGAGTCACACACACAAGGCCAAGTAGGTACCTCCACGAGCAGCCATTTGAGACACATTCAGTGCCTCTGCTCTGTCTTCACCCTTTCTAGGGATCTATGTCCCTGCTGAGAAAGACGGAACTTGAGTTCTAAGGGATAGAATGAAAAGACAACATTATCTCTTCTTCACCAAGCCAATGAAGTTTGCTGAGTGATAAAGACATATACGCCTGTAGTGTCCTTGTCAACCACTGTGCTGTCAGCAGATTTTATGGGAGGAGAGATGAGGGAATGGACAGGCTCACTATCCAGAGCAATATTTGGATGCAATTATGAGACTTCACTGTCACTACTTTAAGATCTTCAAGTTGGAGCAAGTTGCCCTGCTCTTAGAGGAGGGATTAACTAAACCAATTTCACCTAAATCAATCTGCGCTGCTCAGATGATATGTTCATAAAGCAACCAAGTCACTCTGATTTGTAGCACATGCCAAATGAGAATTCTAGCAGTCGTGAAAATAAACAGAAGAGACATAACCACCCTTAAATGTCCCTAGCCTCTGTCCCTGTCCTGATCCAGGAGCTGCAAGTATGGAGTTGGGCCTGGAACAAGCAGGAGGCCAAAATACTGGGCCAAGTCTGGGACACATTATAGGTACTTAATAAATATTGTTGGCTTACTGTTGCTAGATGCTAATCATGCTTATAAAGATATGCCTAAAATTATGTATGCCTGTTTTCATTAGAAATTAACTGCCCCATATATGTAAAAATGGGTGAGGTTATATTTTCAAACAAGTTTGACACAGATAATTAGGTTAGAGTACATTAGATATGATTCAAGCCTTGACTTAAAATTATCACCATTATGCTCTATGCCTAGTTGTATGTATGTATTCATTCAGTTATACATGTATTGGGGGGGAAACAGACTTAAGACCTAAGTACAATGATAGATTTAGCTCCCAGGGAGCTGATAATGGCAAAGTAAAGTTTTCAGTAAACTGGGGTTCCTACTTACACCTAGTCAATTCAGTAACCCAATAAAAGGTAAAGAAATGTTTTCTTTGAAAAGTATAATACTGAGGGTTTATAGAATCCTTTCATCTTCAAAGGACCAAGTCAAGACTCACAATAGCTACTACACAATATTAAGCCTTTTACACAAATGTGACAACTATGAAAGAAAGGTCACAGGAATGTCCTAAGATCATAAGCTAATGCAACATCAGATTTGGGGTGAACTCTCTGATCTTCGTGGCTCCTAGACCTGTATTTCAACCACATAAATCAAGCCGTGAGGATCAATCAAGAGAAATGTGATTCATATTATATATCTGCATTAAGTTAATTGATTGGGCAGGAATATATAAAAATAGGAAAGACTGTTTCTCCCTCAGGGCAGTGATGAGCAGAGAGGAGGTAGACAGGAGGATGTCAGGGCAGGGGGAGGCTAACCATCTGGGGTATAATGAAACCTCTCCCAAAACAGAAGGAAAGCAGGGGAGGGGAACTCCCTATTCAACAACTCCCTTCTATTGGAACACTGCCAGAGAACTGATTAGTGTACAGGGATGGAACAGAATGGGGTTAAAGGCAGCCCTTATGGCCCAGCTTGAGAATCAGAGGAATCAACCCACACACAGCACTTCTCTGCTTACATAGTTTCCAATATATTCCTTTATAAGGGCTCCTTCTCAGAAACATGCAACCATTACCATCCACTCGCTCCACACTCAGAAATCCTCAAAAAGGCAAAGTGGTTGAAGAAGCAAGATGCTGCATGACTGAGAGGCTGGGAGTGCACCGGTTAATGGGGGGAGGGAAGCTGGGGTAAAGGGACTCTGGTGCCAGATTTGGGTGGGCAAGTAGGTGTTGTGACGTAGGAAAAAGGTGGGTGATCCTGAGGGCGGGTAGGGGAGTGTGGAAGAGAGAGAAAGTAAAGATCCCAACGACCCCAGGGCCCAATTTTCGGCTCTAAAAAGAAACGCCTCTGAAAAATAATGTGCTGCACACTAAATGCTAAGTAACCTAAGCCTTATCATCACCAGTAATGTTTCTGTAAGTCGACTCCGCCGTTATTTACTTAATTCTTACGAGCCAGGAATGGAAAAATCCCACCTCTCCCTGGTTTGGTCGCAGTCCGTCCTGTGGACATATGTAAGTTTTCCCTCTCCCCCACAGAGCTGCTTTCACAGCTAGGCCAGAAATAAGGAACCACCCAGACGGATACTCGAGTATCGCTCCCCTGGCAGAAAAGGGATTAAGTTTCGCCGGGCCTCCCCGCCGACAGGGTGTCCGCAGCCACGCTGGCCGCTGCGCCAGCACCGCCCGGAGACAGCCGAGGGGCACCGCCTGGGCCGAGGAGGCTGCTGGTCGCGGGAGCGTGGGAAGGCGGCGATGTCCTTTCCCAGACTCGCGCCCAGACGCCGGGGGAGCCGCTCGACTGCCTTCGCCCGGCCCGGCCCGGCCGGGTTGCGCTGGAGGCCTCTGCCGTCCTCGCCCCGCACCCCGGAGTGCAAACTCCTTCCCAGGAGGGCAGCGGCAGGAGCCCGGGCCCCAGCGGCAAAACGGGGAGCCAGGGCCAGGCCAGGGCTACCGCCGCCGCCCCGAGCCTCGCGGGCCCCGTCACCCTGCCCCGCCGAGCTCGACCGAGAGCCCGAAAGCCCTTGATCAGTGCCGGGCCCCGGCAGCACCTGAAGAGCGGCCAGAGCCGGGGCCAAACCCTGCGCGGGCGGCGACGCTTGACCCCCCAGGGCCGCGGAGAGGGGACGCGTTTTACCCATAGCATTTCCAGGTGCCAGCCATTTCCTCCGCGCGCCCCAGGGCGCTGGGCGCTCGCCTGCCTCCGCAGCGAGCTGGCTCGGGTTCCAGCGCGAGCTCCCGGGCCGCCGTCGCCGCCGCCACCAGCACTCTAGGCCGCCGCCTGCCTTCGCCGCCGCTCCCGCTCCCGTCGCCGCCGCCGCGCGGCAGCCAGGATCCGCCAGCCCGCGCGCCCCGCAGGGGACAACACGGCCGCCGTGATGCTACCGCGGCTAGGTCTCCCGAGCTAAACTTAAGAGTTTTCGCTCCTCAGTCCAGGGGCAGCACCATGACACCACGGCAGCACCACACTGTCATTTCCGCCGCCGCAGAGGAAAAAAAAAGGCAATCCCTTCGAAAAGGGAGGTAGAATGGGGGCAAACAGGGCTGGGGCTGACACCCCAAGGAAGCGCTGGGAAGGGCCCCAGCAGAAGGGGCGCTCGGCCACCTTCCCCAGCTCACCTTCCGCCGCCCCCGCCACTCTCAGCTCCCCCAGCCCCTCCTCTGAAGGCGCGTTTACATGTCTTCTCCCCTGGCAGGAGTGACCGGAGAAACCTGAGCAAGCAAAGGCAGCCAGTGGGTGGGGTTCGGGTTACTACTGTACCTACCAGCTGATTCCAGCAGCCTTTTCTCCAGCGCCCTGTCATCTTGAAGGAAGACACACCGAAAGGGACCCGGGCGGGCGTGTATGTGTGTGTCTGTGTGCGCGCGCGCGCGCGTGTGTGTGTGTGTGTGTGTGAGAGAGAGAGAGAGAGAGAGAGAGAGAGCGCAGAATATGTGTGAACTGCAGAAGGAAGACTATGGCCAAACTCTTCTCCCTCTCGCCATCCTCCAGTCCCACAAACCGCCAGGTTAAAACAAGGAAAAGGCCGCTGCAACCAGCAACGAGAAAAGAGTGCCTGGGTTCACCGTACAGGTCTTCCCTATGAAGCTGCTGTATACAAAGTTAACTACAGAGTAAAACAAAAATAGTGGAGGAGACACAAAAGGGCAGACAATTGAAGGAAACCCAACCCCTCTTTCTTTTTACAAAAGGAGAATGGCTGTGTTTTATTGGCCTTGGGCAAGAAGTAGTGAGGATGGATTAAAGCCATCAAAAGAAAAAAGAAAAAAAAAGTAGAATTTCTTTTGTACCTTCAGATACTTGACCGGCAAAACAAGAGGGTCGTTACTTCAAGGACAATGGGGTCGATGTTAACTACCTAGGTAGTCAATGTCCCTAATTGGTCCATTTGGAACCCAGGACGCTCCCTTTGGTCTGGAGTCAGCCAGTTTGCTGATCTGTCATAGGCTCAGAGACCACGGCTCCACTCAAAAGGTGGATGGGAGGGGGAAAGAGGAGACTCTGTTTCTAACACCGGGTAAAAGGGTAGAAGAAGGGGGAAAAAGTGAGAAAAATGGCAGCAAACACCCTCCCCACCACACACACACACACACACACACACACACACACACACACACAGGCCTCTTATTACTATGCATGGGAACAAGTCCAGAATAATTAAGGTAGCTCTGGGTGTATCCTGTCAGGGAACCAATAGTATTCAGTCAACACCCCTGTTAAACAATGTGCAAGAGTGCACTGAGGTGGAAATGAAGACAAAAATCACAACCAGGTTACCCTAATGAAAGTCCAGCCCCTAAGAGAAGTAAAAGTTAATGAGTCACACCCAAAGCAAGGCAACAAAAGCAAAAATAGGTAAATGAAACTATACAAAACTTTAAAACATCTGCACAGCAAAGGACACAATAAACAGAGTGAAAAAAAAAACCAATCTATGGAATGGGGGAAAATATTTGCAACCTGATAAGGTGTTAATATCCAGAATATATAAAGAGCTCCTACAGCTCAATATTAAAAACAAAAACAAATAACTCTATCAAAGAAAAAGGGTAAAGGACTATAATAGGCATTTCCCCAAAGAAGACAAGTGACCAACAAGCAAAAGAAAAGATGCTCAACATCACTAATCATCAGGGAAGTGCAAATCAAAACCTCAATGAGGTGTCACCGTTGATAGCTACTACAAAAAACCAGAAAATAATAAGTGTTAACAAGATTGTGGAGAAATCGGAACCCATGCACACTGTTGTACAATGGTACTGTCACTATGTAAGGGAATGTAAAATGGTACAGCCACTTTACAGTATGGTACAGTATATTTCAATACTGTAGAAATAAGGTAGCAAGATCCCTAAAAATTTAAAAATAGAATACCATAGATTAAGCAATCCCACTTCTGGATATATATCCAAGGGAATTGAAAGCAGGATCTTGAAGAGGTATTAGCGCACTCATGTTCATAGCAGCATTATTCACAATGGTCAAGAAGTGGAAATAACTTTAATATCCATCAAGGGATGAATGGATAAAAAATGGAATGTTATTCAGCTTTAAAAATAAGGAAATCCTGTCACGTGTTAGAACATGGATGAACCTTGAGTACATTATGCTAAGTGAAATAAGACAATCACAAAAAGACAAATACTCCATGATTCTACTTATATGGCTCCCTAAAATAGTCAAACTCATAGAAACAGAAAAGCAGAATGATAGTTGTCAGAGGCTATGGGGAGGGGAAAAGAAAGAGTTGCTCAGTGGGTATAACGTTTTAATCATGCAGGATGGGAGGATGTTTTGGGGATCCATTGCACAACAATGCGTATGTTGTTGACAATATTGTGCTGTGCACTTGGAAATTGTTGGAAGGGTAAGTTTTATGTAGTTTTTAGTTGCAAATGAATTAAGATTTGTGGGGGGGTTGTTTTTTCTTTCTTTCTTTTTTTTTAGAGACAGGATCTCCCTCTGTCATCCAGGTTGGAATGCAATGGAACAACCATAATCCACTGCAGCCTTGAACTTCTAGGTCTAAGCAATCCTCCGATTCTGCCTCTCGATTAGCTTTGACTACAGGTGTATGCCACCACTCCTGGAATTTTTTTTTTTTTTAATTTCTTATATAGAGATGAGGGTTACACTATGTTGACTAGGCTGATTTAGAACTTCTGGCCTCAAGCAATCCTCCCACATCAGTCTCCCAAATTGTTGGACTAACTGAGTCACCACTCCTGGCTGTTTTGAAAAAAGTTAATGAGTTAGAAGTCTGCTCATCCCAGCATAGCAGAGTGGACAAATAAGTTATACAGTCGTTAAAATATTGTTAAATGGAAAAACAAGGTGCAGGGCTCTGTATGACTTGCTAATACTATTGTAAAAAAATGAAGGAGATATCTGTCCTTGTATGCTTATATGTGTCTAGACTCTTCTGTAAAGATACCTAAAAAACATTATACTGGTTGCCTGGGGATCAAGCATAGGAGGGAGAATTTAACATTGTGTGTGCTTTTTTGTATTGTTTGAATTTTGTATAAGTTCATGTGTTATTTAAAAAAAAAACAATTTTAGAAGAGTAAAGATCATAGAGACAGAAACCAAAATTGAGGGTTTTTTGTTTTGTTTTTTAAACCAAGAGAAAGGGGAAATGAGAAGTTACTGTTTCAAGGATACAGAGTTTCTGTTTGGGATGATGAAAAAGTTCTGGAAGTACTTACACATATAAAAAGAACCTGGGAGCACCTTGTGAACAGTGTGAGCTTGAAATTGGGGTGGGTGCTTGAGGGGATCTTTCAACTTATCTGTTTAAATAATGTACAATGATAATTTATTTTGCAATTTAAAAAATTAAGATATATCTCCAAAAAGCAAGTTGAACCTTAATTTGAGTCAGAAGTCAACAGATCACTAAGAATTCTTCTTTAGTCTCACTTGTATGATACCCACAGAGAACTGAAGAACTTTCTAAAATGTGAAGAATAACCACTTTTATCATGAACACACCCTAAGCTAGCTAGCTCTTGGCAAAATAGGCAGTAAAGGAGATTTGCTTTTAATGGCCTTTATTGTCCTTTAGAAATCATCTCATCCTTCACTTTTTAGTAGTCTCCCTTTCACCTGAGCTTCCAGTGCTTTCAACCTAGTCCCTGGCTCACCAGAGTTCTATATGGAGCTTTCCAACTCCACCTTCCATCCCCAGGCAGCTGCCCATGTTCTGGACCTTTCCTTCTTCTCCTCAAAACTTAACTGCTTCTGGGTGTCTTTCACAAAGGATCTCACTAAGTGATTAAGGAATTCAATCAACTAATTTGAGCTAAATGTTAATAGCTTCATTCTACTAGTAGATAATATTTTAATTTAACAGAGACCTTCAATGTATTAATCCAAAGGAATGACTAATAGCGTGCGTGGGTGGGGATGAGGGGGTGGGAAGATTTTGCTAATCACATCATATAAGCAGCTGCTTAGAAAATATCCCCATTTTTACTGGTTTTATGCAAATTACTCACTGTAAATTTATTAAAGTAAATGTTTTGTATCTGGCAGGAGATGCAAAATTGGCTGGAAGTATGTGATGAAATTATTTGTTTATAACCATTTAATGGTTACCTTTGTATATAACATATGTTGATCTTCCTAACAAAATAAATCTAGCCCATGAAAAAAAGACAGCTGATAGATTCAACTTGAGGTGTTTTAATTTAATTAATCTGAGGCAGACTCACCACACCACAGGCCCACAGTGTAAAAGGGACAGCTGCTTTTTTTCCTGCTAAGAATGTAGGGGGGTGGGAGGAACAGCTCCAGATACTTTCTACACACAGAAACACAGAGCCTAGTCTGTTCCAGAAGGAAAAACTACAGAAGGGTGATTTTGTCATGCAAGAGAATCATTGCTTTGCAGAAAGAGACCTTCATACTGCTCTCAAAAGAAGCAGCTGGTTGTCTGAAATCCAGAGGTTGACCAAAGACTTTTTTAACCAGGGGGCTTTTAACAGAATGATGAGTAGAAAAGCACTTTGGCATGGACTCATCAATAAGACATTGTTCTAAAACTAGTTGTGAACAGGCCCTGTAGTCTGCTTAAGAGAGAGTGGTTCAAGATAAATATGTTCCCAGTACAGAGAAGGGCATGCCCCTGCTACATTTTATTCTCCTTTGGTCTATATTTTGCTATCGCTTCTATCAATGTTTTAAGTTATCTGAATTGTTGTGTTTGTTACAATAAACATGTAGCTATATTACATTGGTAAATATTTTCCTGGAGTTTTCTTGTGTCTTCGGGCCCAAGCCTAAACCTTACTGCTGGCCATGCTGTCCTGTTCAACAGCACCAGATCACTTAGAGTCTGCCTTTTGTGACCTCATATACTCCTGTTTTTTCAACCATCTCACTGCCTGTTCTTTGGGTTCTATCGCTTCCTCCTTCTGCTCTTCTATGATATCCCTGAAGGTTGGCGTGCCCCAGAGCTCAGCCCTTGACTCTCTTCTCTGTCTACAGTTAGGTAACGTCGTCTAGTCCCATGTTTTTAAATACAATCCATACACTGATGGACCCAAATTTTATCTTTTCTGCTCAAATCTCTCCCCTGGAATTCAGCCTTACATATCCAGTTATTTTACATCTCTGCCTGGCTGTCCCACGGACACTACTAACTTGAAATGACCAAAAAAGAACTCTTAGTTTCTATTCCTATCCCATCTCAGTAAATGGCACCATCC